CTAGAGGCTATGAAACATCCTACCTTTCATCTTTCTAGATTAGTCTGATACATGTAGTTTTATGTGAACTTTAGAACTTTTGATTTTTCACTAATTCTTGCCAATTATGATTATAATTAAATGGCTGTGTAGGACACCCTACTATAATCATATTCTTGTATGCAGTTTCTCATTTGTCAAAGAACATCAGTGGACTCTGAAGCTAGACTTGTTTCGCCTGTACCTAAGCAACACAAGTTTTGGAGGAGATTTATGAGTGGTAGAGTGGTCTTGATATTTATTTTTCTATTAGCATTGTAAATGAAGAAAAGAGTTGTTCCAAGATATATATTACTTGCGTTCATTCAACGTTGGGGTAATGTTTTTTGAAGGAAATATTGGATGACATGATTGTTCTAGCATTTGAAGGTTAATAGAAACATCAATCATCAATATTCACCACTACTATTGTATCACAAATAATATTAATTTAAAAAAAATAATTTCATGTGACAAGTTCTAAAATTTAAGAATTATAGAAATCATAAAATCAGCCAACCATTCACATCAATGATGTTGGTCACTTAAAATTAATATAATAATTAGTAGATCCACATCGAATAAGAGAACCATATAATACATAAATCTCGAGTAATGTATATATTCAAATATTTTAACAAATTGGTTCACATGCAACTACTAATATTAGAAAAAATAACTTATCAAAAATAATATGTTAAAATTATACTGGTAATAGATCAGGAATTAACGGTCAAAATAATTGTTTTAATCAACAATGGTGCGGAAATGAACTGTATAAAGGAAGAATTAATTCCTACTCAATATTTTGAAAAAACTACTCAGACATTAAGCACAGTTATTGGCCCCAAGTTAAAAATTAAATTGAAACTCTCTAATGTTCTCATCTGCAATCAGGGAATATGTATTTCTGCTGCGTTTATGTTTATATCAAATTTTAATCAGTTAGTAATATTATGAGCACCATTCTTATCTATGATTAAACTCATAGAAAGAATTAATTCCCAAAAGAATTTTAACTACCTTACAAGATCAAAAAAATTGTTTTGAGTTTATAACTCCCCCTCAAATTAAAATGATAAACTAGATAAAAAAAATTGATTTACAAAGAAAGTCAAAAAAACTTCTTGCAACAAGAAGTCAAGATATTAAATATATCTCAAAAGAGTGGAAACTAATCCTACTGCTTTTTGGAGTAGAAAAAAGCATGTTGTAGCACTTCCTTATATTAAGGAATGTAATGAAAAGGATATTCCTACAAAGGCAATACCTACCCAGATGAATAAGAATATTTAGAACTCTATAAAAAATAGATTGATTTATTATTAGAGAAATCATTAATCCAAAAAAGTTATTCTCTTGGAGTTGTGCAACATTCTACGTAAATAGCAATGCTGAAAAGAAGCGAAGAGTTTCTTAAATTAGTAATTAATTACAAACATTTAAATAAGTTTTGCAATGGATCAATTCCTAATAAAAAGAATTTATTATCTCGATTGTATGCTGCTAAACTCTTCTCTAAGTTTGATTTAAAATAAGGTTATTGGCAAATCCAAATAGTTGAGGAAGACAGGTATAAACTGCTTTCACAGTACCATTAGTACATTATATTGAACAAGGAAATATAGTTCCTATTGAAAGAAGTATTGATTTCGCTTTCTAAATTTCCTGATGAAATTAAAGATAAGAAGCAATTACAATAATTTTTGGGAAGCTTAAATAATTTAATAGATTTTTATAAAAATTTAGCAAAAGATACAGGTATTTTGTATCAAAGGCTTCAAAAGAATCCGTCTCCATGGACAAATCTTCATACAGAAGCAGTTAAAAAGATTAAGTTTAAAGCTAAAAAACTTCCATGTTTATCTTTAATAAACCCCGATTGGTATAAAGTCGTAGAAACTGACACTCTTTGATAAAACTTATGGAGATATTCTAAAAGAAAGAAATCTCATTAATAATAAAGAAAACCTTATTAGGTTCACTTCAGGGAAATGGAATAATGCTCAAACAAATTATTCTACAGTTAAAAAAAGAAATTTTAGACATAGTAAAGTGCATTAGTAAATTTCAAGATGATTTGTCAAACCAAGAATTTCTATTAAAAATTTATTGTAATTCAACTAAAGTAGTAATTGAACAAGATGTAAAAAATATTGCCTCTAAATAAATATTTGCAAGATGACAAGCAATTTTAGCTGTATTCGATTTTAGAATTGAATATGATAAAGGAGAATTACATTCTCTTCCCGATTGTCTAATTAGAAAATTTTTGCAGGATTCCTCATGAATAGAAAACGAGCTAATATATGTGGCCGAGGTCGCGGAGGAGGAAGATCTAGGGGAAGAACCCAGATCAATGCCTATTATCCACTATTAAATGAGTTCAAACAGTTTAAAGCTGTAAATCAACAACTTCTTAAAGAAAGTCAATCTAGTAAAACGGAAGATAACGAATATACAGTCGTCAAAAATAAAAAAAAAATCCATAAAAGAGGCCTTAATAGCCAAACTTAAAATGAGCTATACAGAGTTTAAACATCTGCCAGTATTTGTTCCAATCATAATATTGGAAAATGAATATATTAACTGGGTTAAAGACCCTTATTATACTGGTAAGCAATTTTTTGATATGGATAATGTCATGCTTGTCACCGGTAATAGGGATAGATATTTTTATGAATATATTCTTGAAGACACTAACTCAATTAAAGTTAAGCATTTTTATAGAAAAAGTTATGATAAGGAAGATAATATCTCCTACAATAAAGCATCGCTTTTAAGGATTATATCTAAAAGAGATTGGGGTTTAAGTTTAATAAAACTCAAAAAATAAACAAGATATCCTTATAAGGAATATAATTACTTCGATTATATGGAAGCTTGGCATAATGCCAAAATGAGACCTTAACCCACACATAGTTCTTTATTTTCACAAAAACTTTCATTGAGTTCCCCATCTGGTTTCATGCTTGGTGGGAAACCCATGGCGCTATAGAGGATATATAGTATATACCCTCCTGAAATGAAAAATTTATTTGACATCTATAAAGAGAAAAATCTATCATTAAAGGATAATAAAATTGAGAATAAACCCATGATAAATATCTCAATAGAGTTCTTTGTACCTTGGGTATGGGTATGGTGTCTCTGTTGTGATTTTAATCAAAATGGACATCCTAGATTGTTAAGAGAATTTCAGGTAAGATTCTGAAATAACTATCCTCTTAAAGAGAAAATTTCAGTTATAGCCGAATGTCTTAAAGACATAGAAAAGGAGGAAGTAACTTCAAAATAAATTATTCCAAGTACTAGCACTAGTATTAACATTGGATTAAATTCAATCGAATTTCTTAAAAAAAAACTCATTAAACAGAAATCTCACATAATCACCGAACAATTTAAAGCAATAGTTATTGAGGTAATGCATCTTCAATTAATGTCCACTTTTGGAATGGACAAAAATGAATAGATGGCTATTGTTAATACTTCAACTATTGATATAGGAGACAAAGGTAAAAATAAAGTTGAGAATGATAACACGAGAACAAAAACTCTGATTGATTCTGTTGAAGACTTTTATGGACTCACATGGATATACCTCTATAACAGGTTATACGCCTTTAAACGAAGATGTGGAGATAAATCTCCAAGATTGCGATAATAATGATCTTTATGATATTTTGAATAGGTAATTAAAAATGGCGTCAAAGTGAAAGAGACGATGTTAAGAAGAGCCTAAAAGCAATGACGTTATAATGACAAAGACAGTAACATAAGCAATGACGTCACAAACAGTAATGATGACGTATATAATGATGTCATGAACAATATAAAGTTATGAATAATAATTTTTTTATAAATTTTTGAAATCCGGACTTCATGTATGTCTGTATTTAAAGGGTGATGGTCAGTTTGTTGAGCACGGCCTTCAAACTCTTCTCTCTCTGTTTCCCATGTAAAGAAGCTCCACCTACGCCTTTCTCCTTTTTTTACCTTCTCTCCTTCTCTTCTCATCTGTAAGTAAAAATTTGTATGTTTGTTTGATTTAAATATGTGTCTTAATGTCATATTGTACGCTCTTTAAAATAAAAGAGATTTGAATCTATTTAAAATTTTGAAATGTGAATTTTATATAGATAGTTTAATTATGAAAAATCTAAAATTAAACACCGCTAGTGTGTTCTATATAAGTGATAGTCATCCTCCTTTCAACGCATTTTGACTCCGAGTTCTCACCATCTTTGAACATAAGAGATTGGTATAGAGCACGAGACTCCAAAAACCACATGTACTCTAGCCGCACTATTGTTCATAGCTCGATCACGGGATTAACCCTTGGCAAGTTTGTCAATTACCTTATCTCATAACCATTAACAAGTTTGTTAAATACATTATCTCATTACTCTACGATTATTGTAATTGTATTGTCGACGATACTGTTCTTGATTTTCCTCCGGTTTCATAAACCTAAGACTGCCTGTGACAGACCAGGGTGGTAGCCGGATAGCTTTGTGTAGTTGTCCCCAATGCAGTAATTACCTTCTCATCACTCTTAAGCCTGGGACGAAACGAGGACAACTCTTCTGCCTGTTGAGTTGTCCTAAACTTCTGGAAGGGTCGGCTAGTTGGCCAAAACTTGTCAACAATAGCCAAATTTCCATACACGCAGTGAAATAAACACCCCTGAATCAAAACCAGTAAAAAGACGCTCTTGTTCCAATCAAAAACTCTCACAAAACCAGTCAAGTAATTCAAGAACAAACCAATCTGACTTTGATTCAGGTGATGACCGGAAAAATAAAAATAATAAAAAATAATAACTCAAGAACAAACCAATTTACCATCTTAGCAGATGCTGCCTTCTCCTTGGTTTTCCGAATACAGAATTTTTCCAAACAAACCGATCTATGGAAAATAATTGCTCAACCCAACCTAGCACCTCAAGGTTCCATAGATTGATTCTACAGTTTTCAATGCTACTTGGGTACTCACAGATTAAGGCCAACTTATTCAGGCTGGTTTCAAATGACACCAGCATACTAAAATAAAAGCGTCCTACATCACCATACCCTTTAACATTGAAAGAATTCGGTGAACGATGCCCATGACAAAGATCATATTCATAGCAAAACATCTCAAAAACTTAACGTTTCAAAAACATCAAGCATGTCAAGTAGGTACGACATTGATAATCTACTTCACTCCAACTATGGACATGAGAAACTGAAGCTTCTCATTGACTTCTAGAAGATCACCAGGATCTTCAAAAGATTGTGGTGGCTCCACTCCAGTAAAGATGTAGAGCGCCTTTAATTCATCCACACAAGTTGGATGACGTGCAGCTCTGTAACCAACAATTATTCGCATCGAGTTAATCTGTTCCCATAGTTTCTCCTCGCTGAGCAGCACCTACAGCAGAAGCAAATTGCATCCATAGGAAAAACAAAAATGTCCAATGAGAAATTATGATAACAAAACTTGGTACATGAACATCCTAAATTATTCATCTTCCCCTGTAGGTTACAATAAGACCCTAACATGCATGTGACTGTTTTGATTATAAAAAAAACTGTTTTGATTATAGAAAAACTTAAGTTAAAGCACGCGCGTGCGCACACACACATATATAGCAAATGCTAAATACTACTGAAAACTACAAGCAAAGAACATGTGCAGGATAGTGTATCATTCCTTGCAATTGAAACCAAAAACTGTGCCATGATAACCTTGTGCTGCAAGGGCTTCTTTCAGTCTTAATAGAGATCGCGGCCATTTTCTTCTTATGTTTCTATTCTGAGCAAGGGAAAGCTTTTAACTTGACTTGGTGGCATCGCAAGTGAAGCAACTTTGGACTACATTTAAATGAGCTTTGTTTCCAGTGGGCAAACATTTAACATCTCTGGAAATTTATTTCTTACAAAAAAGAGACTTAAAAGAGAACTAGAAATAAAAAAACAACATAGAGAGAAGAAAAAGGGGAAGATCACGACAGTAAATAGATGCCTAGAAGGGGCTAAAAAGAGCACCAGCTAAACAACACAGAAGAACCTTTCAGAGAACAAAAATAATTCAAGATTAGGCATAGCTTTAGTCAATTACATGGAACCCCCTACTTTGGTGAAATCTTACCCCTCATTGATTATCAAATGCACTTTTGAGGATTATTATCATCAATTCACTTAGCTTCTGGTTTTCTGCATCATACGAGGATGCCAGTTTTGATCACATTAGTAGAAGCAAGCGAGTTTGGAATTGCAAGTCTTCTGAAAATAAGATAAACACGATGCAATGAGGGCGACACCACGGAATGTGGAACAGCTTCACACAATTTGTGTCCACCCTAAAGTTGAATATAATGTCAAGCCTTAAGAAAAGGACTCCCCTGATGTTTTAATAGAATGCTGTGCCATTCAGTCTTTTGCACCAGAGGCTTGCATTCTTTTTTGTTCTCCTTGTGTTTTATATTCATTATTCCTGGCCTACACTTGCTGTTCAATCTTTTCTAAGGTTAAATCCACCACTACCTAAAAGTTCGTACGCATCATAGACATTATAATCTAAAAGCATTAAAAATGATTAAATTTTAACGACAAAACAGAAATTTTAAAAAAAGAAAAAAAAGACACATCTATTGTCTACTAAAAAAATGATTCTCATCGATGGACTCAGCAAAGCTATTTCCTCTAAGAAGGCATATAGATGTACATCAACTTAATTCCAGAAAGTGTAGGGAGTTGGAGTTACTAGCTAAAGGTTAACACCTCTAATGCAAGTTACTCTATAACCTCACATATAAGCACATGCATGGAGTACATGAAACCCAAATTTAGTTGCAATATAACTCTGAACATAAACTTGCCATTGAGCGGCATTTATATATAATGCATGAAAAAAACTCCAGCCAATGCCAAGCAACATGGACATTCATTCATAACGCACTGACCTTTGGAGGAATTACCGCCTCCATTTCGGAAGCAATTTCAGAATGTTTGGGCACAGGTTTCCCTGATGAAACAGGTAGCTTCAGGAAATCTTCATTTTCACCTGAAGAGCTATCTGTCGCCTTCTCATTCTCACCTACAAGACAATCGTAGGTAAGCTCAAGGAAAACTGCATTTTCAACTGCAGTGCTATAAGTGGCCTTCTCATTCTTACCCACAGCCAAATGTAGCTATTGTGCCAAAATATGCTGCGGTGGACAATTAAGTACAGAAAAATACCTTCAGGGGTTTTGTGAACTGCACTGTTGGAGTGGCCAATGGTTGCATTTCTGTCATCGGCCACATTGAGATCACTGTCATTAGAAATTCCTCTTTCAGCTGCATTTGAATTGATCATATTTGCATCCCCTTCCAAGCTAAGATCCTCAGGTGCATCTGTAGCTATAGGAACCTTAAATCTAGCTCCTTGCAATACTTCATTTTTGCCTAACTCGAGTTTCTGCTCCTCTTCTGCTAATAAGCTTTCAACTCCTCCTCCCAGGCGCTTTCCATTTATCCTTTCATTCTGGTCCCCAACTGGCTTACCAACTCCAACAAACTCGTGACCATTCCTCGCATCTCTGTTTCCTTGTCTTCTACCTTTCTTCCGACCAACTTGTCTGACCTCTGGTACATTACGCGCATTTTCCCCATTTTTGCTATGTATCCCTTTGCTTTCCTGTGAAATTGCCTCACCTATATTTTCTCCATGAATTCCTTCTGTCACCCCATTAAGTTTCTCAAATTCCAGCTTTTTATTTCCAAATGGTCCCCCAATCTTGTCCTTGTTTTCCTGATTTTCTTTTAAAATTTGGTTATTTCTCTTTTGCCAATCTGTTCCCTTAATCTTCTCCATAAGTTTCTCTACTTCTACATTATTATCTTCAGATAGTTTCTCTATTTCATCTATGCACCTNATTTCCAAATGGTCCCCCAATCTTGTCCTTGTTTTCCTGATTTTCTTTTAAAATTTGTTTATTTCTCTTTTGCCAATCTGTTCCCTTAATCTTCTCCATAAGTTTCTCTACTTCTACATTATTATCTTCAGATAGTTGCACTATTTCATCTATGCACCCGAAATTTTTCTTGTCCTCCTCAACTCCACAAAATTCTCCAATGCTATGCTCTTCCTCCTTCACAATGTTACTAGAATTATCTTCATCCCTGATTTTTATCAACAACGCTGTAGTCTCTCTCTCTAATTCCTCCTTTTTATCCTTTCCAAACACCTCTCCCTTACTCCTTGGATCTTCCACAAGTTTCCTTGCCACCATGACTACATCGNATCCTTTCCAAACACCTCTCCCTTACTCCTTGGATCTTCCACAAGTTTCCTTGCCACGACGACTACATCCTCCTTTTGTGCAACACTGCTACCATTGCTCTCATCTCCCTCAGCTACAACCACAACTCGCCGCACTTCAACAGAGNCTCCTTTTGTGCAACACTGCTACCATTGCTCTCATCTCCCTCAGCTACAACCACAACTCGCCGCACTTCAACAGAGAATTCCTCAACATTGCTTTGGTCTACCACTGATTCCTGCTTTCCCTCTTTTCTTACTCCCATTTCTGTATGAACCCCTTTCATGGGCTCTTTATCGTCTAAGTACTCGCCGACATCTTCCTCATGCCCCTCTTCCTTCACATTATAATCCACTTCCTCCATTGGTTCTTCCATGCAATGTTCCACAGCTTTCGTTGCAGGATCATCTTCCTCCTGCAGAATATCTCCTCCTGGAATTTCTTTGCTTCCATCATCTTCCAATTCAACCCTCATCTCTAACCTTTTCTTTGCATCCTCTGTCTTTTCTGTTTCTTCATCTTCTGTTACATTTTCTCCAAAACGCACATCCTCTTTTTCTCCTTCCTCTTCCTCTTCTTCTTCTTCCTTTTCATCGGTATACACTCTGTCCATTACAACTCCTTCAGAACCCACATCCTCTTTTTCTCCTTTCTCTTTTTCTTCTTCTTCTTTTGCTTCTTCTTCCTCTTCATCAGTAGACACTGTGTCCGTCACAACTCCTTCAAAACTTAAATCCTCCTCTTCTCCATATTCTTCCTCATCACCCTCTTCTTCTCCATATTCTTCTTCATCACCCTCTTCGTCAGCATATACAGTCTCATACTCCAACATAAGAGAAGATGCTGGCGACGGAAGCAACTTGCTCATGAGCTTCTCAGTGCAAGCATAAGTCGCAAAGACAACTCCAAATGGAACCGAAAATGCAAACCCGAGAGTAGATATCATCAAAAGTGGAGGAAGAACCACGGGTGCAGATGAGATCACAATAGCTGTGATCACAACCTTCTTTCCCAGCCCCAGACCTCTGTTTAAGATCCAATTCACTTTACCTTCACTTTCTGGTGNGTACTCCATTAGAATAGACTATTGTGTACCATCTCCGGATTGGGGTGTTACAATTAGGCTTACTCGAGCTTTCCCAGTACTGCTAGAGCTTTGTTGTCTTGCTAACAATAATATTTCTAAAGTTAGAGTGTTGCTGAAACTTTCCCATCACAATAATTAATTTTCTCCTACACCAATTTTACCTTATAAGGTTTTCCCATTGTGGGTAGGAGATGGGTCGTGCTTCACGTTAGCTTTTTGTCCATAACTTCCTCGATCCTAAAAAACTGATTACGTGTGCTCGTCTTTCCAATTTAAATGAGGCAATTTCTAGTAACCACCATTCCCCAAGCTATTTAAGCCATCTGAAGCTCTAGGTTTAAGATTCATTCAACTTTCATTGTTTTCGAAACCTCTGCTTCTTCGTGTTTGTCATTTCCTCTAAAGTTTCCAAAACATCCTAGACCATCTTGGATGGATTCCTTTTCAATTCGCTTATTACAGATTTTTCTTTCTTTCTAGAAGATTTTCTCTANGAAACCTCTGCTTCTTCGTGTTTTTCATTTCCTCTAAAGTTTCCAAAACATCCTAGACCATCTTGGATGGATTCCTTTTCAATTCGCTTATTACAGATTTTTCTTTCTTTCTAGAAGATTTTCTCTAAAGAACTTGAATTCTTTCTTTGATTCTCAATCTTTTACGCTATTCATAGTTGTTGTGGATTCATGTTTGAAATTTTTTTGCTCTTTGAATCAGCCTTCTCCTCCTCTTGACGTGATTCACAATTGCCTTTTTACTACGGCTTCTGAGAAAACTTCATCAGAACTCTCCCTCCCTCTTCGTCAACAAACTGGACTCGAAGAGGCAGAGTTCTACGAAGAAACCCTTTCGAAGGAAGCCTCTATTACTCTTGTATTCTATGCCAAAGGAGTAAGTAATAGTGTTACCTAGAAGGATCTTGGTCGTATTCGCGCCCAATTATGCATTAGTGATTCTATTCATTTTTTAGGGTTCCTTTGAGTGAGGAATGAGCTTGTGTGGTATGCCTTCATTCAAAAGGATCTTGGTCGTATTCGAAAAGGGGAGGTCTGCCTCTACAAAATGCCATTGACGATGCAACTTAGATTCACCATTCACTTTTATATTCGTAATTTCTTGTCTTTTTTGAATATTTCCCCTGCCTAGCTTACTCCCAATAGCTGGAGAATCTAAATTGGGTTGGAGTTCTCTGGAGTTTTTCCCACTGTGTGAGTGTGTTTATATCGGTGGGGAAGATCCTCTATGTTCTCCCCCCAAGGAATGGAAAGACAGGTTTTTCTTTGTTTTTAGTCCAGGCTGGGAATTTAGTCCCTTTGAACCTCTAGTGGCAAACCAATCAGAACTCTCTGTTGTTGGGTGTAGTGCCTCCTTCTTCTGGTAATTTTAACTGCATTCCTTTGAGTATTGTCTTTCTTTCAATTTGAGCCATGTTGCCTTTGGTAGCTTAAAGCGTTTTGGTTGATATATATGCAGATCTATTACTTACCCATGTTGCTTAAGTAATTGTAGTTTAATTCTGTTGTGCTAATGTTACTTTGCATTTGTTACTATAGTTCTATTATAATGTTATTCTTTCTGATTCTATGGTTCTACACCCAAGTCGCGGAAGGACGTTAGGTTGTGCCCCCAAGAGGTAGAAGTGAGGCCGTCTTTTGTGGTCCCTGTAAATCGTTGACAGCAAGATTAGAAAGAAGAAAGAAGATTACTGTTGCAGATTTACGATACCAAAAAGGTACTGTAGCATTACTGTAGCAAAATTAAAAGATGAATTACAGTAGCAACATGAAAGAAATAGTAAAANCTTTCAATTTGAGCCATGTTGCCTTTGGTAGCTTAAAGCGTTTTGGTTGATATATATTTTTTCATATATATTAACAGATTCTTTCGACAAAAGAAAAATGGCACTGAACCAATTTAAATTAGGTAATAAACATAAGGAAGATTATGTAAAACATCTGGAAGAAATAAAATTTTCAAATATTGAAAGTAAATTACAAAACTAGGATATATCTCAGTATTCAACTAAGAAAATATATAATATTGAAACTTATGNTCATATATATTAACAGATTCTTTCGACAAAAGAAAAATGGCACTGAACCAATTTAAATTAGGTAATAAACATAAGGAAGATTATGTAAAACATCTGGAAGAAATAAAATTTTCAAATATTGAAAGTAAATTACAAAACTAGGATATATCTCAGTATTCAACTAAGAAAATATATAATATTGAAACTTATGATTTTAAATCATGTATAACAATTAAAACATTAGAAAGAACAATTCCCTTTGATCAGCATGGGGACACTTTACAACACTGAACTAAGAGAGAAGTTTTAAAAACTCAAGAAAATTATAAATTCTTACATATTGGATTAGTCCAAGTAACTTTATAGCCATTAACTCTTCAAGAATTAAATACCTCTTTAAGAGATACTTGCTTTAAGATAAGCTAGATGTTTAGATTTTAATCAATCTATAATGGGAGTTATGCAATCCAGCCTAAGTATTGGTCCAANAAACTCAAGAAAATTATAAATTCTTACATATTGGATTAGTCCAAGTAACTTTATAGCCATTAACTCTTCAAGAATTAAATACCTCTTTAAGAGATACTAGCTTTAAGATAAGCTAGATGTTTAGATTTTAATCAATCTATAATGGGAGTTATGCAATCCAGCCTAAGTATCGGTCCAGTATACTTTAATTGTTTTCCAAATCTATCAGTATCTTTAACTAGTAAAAATATATTGGACGTCTTAATAATCAACCTTAAAACCTATAGTTATAACTGATATAATGATTTTTACTTATAGAATATGTTATAAGGTAATGAATTCTCTGTCACCAANATTGTTTTCCAAATCTATCAGTATCTTTAACTAGTAAAAATATATTGGACGTCTTAATAATCAACCTTAAAACCTATAGTTATAACTATAAGGAATGAACTGATATAATGTTTTTTACTTATAGAGTATGTTATAAGGTATTGAATTCTCTGTCACCACAAGCTAAGCTTCATAATTTCAGGGGCCAAACAACTATGATTGAAACCAATATGATAAAAAATAAAATTGAAGTCCCTAAAACTATTAAATGGTCAGATATTCAGTTTCCAAAAACATGGCAACTAACAGCAATGGTTCCTAAGAAACCAAAGGTAAATCAAAAAATAACACAAATAGCCCAATAATCTCAGAGTGATGTTTTAATCAGATTTGCAAGAGAAAGTTTTTCAAGATTAAAAATCTCTAATAAATCAAGTACATCGTCAATATATAATACTCGTTGTAGGAGGTCCACTTCTTCTATTCCTGATAGAAGAAGGGGAAAATAATCCATAATTGAGGGTATTCAAACTTCACATAATCAGATTCACAAGGAGTCTATAAACAAGATAATGAATCGTCTTTAGAAGAAGATCAGGATCCAACCATATCCGAGATCTATAAATTTTATTGATTTAAAACCAAATAAATTTATAGTAAATAAGAAAGAATAAATAAATAATTTTGTCTTCCCAAATATGAGGAATTTAGAACTTGGTATTTTAAAACTATGAACCAAGAAGATTTGTTAAGATATAAAGAAATGTTTTATTCTTTTATAGAAAGGAAAAAGAGGATAATTCCTTTTGTTAAATGGTTTTTAACCTATTATATGCTCCACCCACAATAGATCAATTAAATGTAATTGAAAATTTTTAGCAAAAATGAGAAACCTTAAAGGAAAAAAGTATAACTAGTAATTTTCCTCCAGCTTTTGAACCAATTAAATTGGATTTAAATGGAGTAGAAGAAATAGTAATTAATTCTTGCTATGCTTTAAAAGATAATGATATTAGTAGTAATATTTCAATTAAAAAAAGTAATTACACAAATGTTTGCTTACAAGTCGTAGGACAACATTTGACAAGAGTTAAAAATTTGATTAAAGATCAACAGAAGCCAAAAGATTCTTCTTCTCAATCCTTAAAGAAAAAAGAAATTGAAATTGAAAAGGTCAATATTAAACCTCAAGTTGACACTTCTAAATTTAATCTTCATAATAAAGTTGAAGATGAGTTTATTATAGAATTAAATAATAAATTGAAAAGCTTGTCATTAAATGTAATTTCTCAAGATGAGACGGTATAGCAATCTGAAACTGAAATTCAACAATTTGAAGAATCGTTGCAGCAAATCCAATATGAAGTAAATAAGATTGGGTATTCCAAACCTAAAAAAAAAAACTTACACATATTCTCAAGCTCCACCAACAAGAGCTTATTATCAAAAGTCAACACCGCAAGATATTTTATATGAAAAAAAAAAATTGTTGATCAGAGTGCTTATAGTGGTGATTTCATTTATGAATGAAATATTGATGGTATGTCAGAATAGTTAATTCACCAAGTGTTACATAAAATGTTAATGTATGCCTCAGTATGTAAAACAAATCAAAATTCATAAAAATATTGCTGATTTTTTCATAGCAGGATTTACTTGTCAACTTAAAGGATAGTGGGATAATTATTTAAATTTATCACAAAGATCTAAAATGTTAAATGCAGTAAAAATTATACAAGCATCATATGGAACGATGATGTTGTGTACACTTTAATAAAGACAATTTTAAAATATTTTGTAAGTACAAGTCTACAATACACAAATAAGAGTAAAGAACTTTTAATGAATTTAAGATGTCTTACCTTAACACATTTTAGGTGGTACAAAGATGGATTTTTAGCAAAAATCTTATTAAGAACCGATGCTAATAATGAATTTTGTAAAGAGAATTTATATCAGGATTACCTAGCTTATTTGCTAAAAAGATAAGAATTCGTTTAAATTAGAGACTTGGTCGATTTAAAATCTCTTATAAAAATTATACTTATGGAGAATTATTTATGAATGTATTTCAGAAGGCTTAGCCTTATGTAATGATTTGAATCTTAAAGCTCAGCTTAAAAGACAAAGATTAATAGGTCGTAAAGAATTAGGAGAATTTTGTAATCAATTTGCCTATAATTTATATTCTCAGACATAAATCTCAAACCAGAAGAAAACAATTTTTTAATAAACCTTACAAGAGAAGGAGAAAATTTTATAAAAAGAATTATAAAAAATAAGAAAATTATATGCCTAAACCATCTAAGGCAAAAGGAAAAAAACCCATTAAATGTTTTAAATGTGAAAAATTGGGACACATTGCTACTAAGTGTTTAACTAAACAAAAGATTAATTAGTTAATCTTAGATTATGATTTTAAAGATAAAATATTAAAATAAGTAATTAATTCAGAAATTGAGGAAAGAGAATCTGACGGTTCATTTTCCTCAGAAAAAGAAGAATAATGTAACATTGACAACATAACTGAATTGTCTGATGGTAAAAAATCAAAACAAGATAAAGCTCGTTTATCTCAATGTAAAACACAAACCAATTATTATAAAGTCATACTTGGCATGAATGGATTAAGTATAAATATTTTAACGAAATCACAAACTTTAATTTTAGATCTTATAGATTGAATTCGAGATCCAGACTCTAAGAAAAAAGCTATAAAACAATATTTATAAATAACACCAGAAGAAAATAAACCTTCTATTTCTAAACCATACTCTTTAGAAGAAGTTTTAGATAGATTTGAATCTGAAGCTGTAGTGTTAAAGAAAAAGAAACTTTCATGCAAGAGCTTAAAAGAGAAATAAATTAACTTAGAATTTAAATTAAAACAATTAAACAAAAGATTATTGGCAATAGAAAAATTGTCAGTTGCAACTAATAACATCGTACAAGACCTAGAAGAAACAAAAGAGTCTGCTAATGAATAGTTAAATATCTATACTACTATAAAATATACATATAATGAAAAAACTTTTGATTGACCACATTGTCCCTACTATATATTTTAATTACCTCAAAATCCTACCATAAAAAGTTCTGGAGACCCACTTACACCAATCAACTCTTCCCCTCCCTCAAGTTACTACATCATTTAGTATTTGGATGAGCAAAAGCCAAGGAGTGAATATATCATTTATTTCTTAAGGCTTTAATGACCGACGGGGGGGTATCTAATCACCATTAAATACAAAAAATATAACACATAGTCTATCCTTTGCAAGTTTAAAGTCTTCATCTCAAGCCATTTTTAATTTCCCACTTACTGTAGCATCTCTCATGCTCTTTTTCCTTCTCGCTTTTTCAGCATTTTGGGGTGAATGATCCAACATTTAGTTTAGCGTCTTACAAATTCTAGCCATTAGTTTTCTTCACCATCGATAGGCTTTCCCTCCCCTGTCCGAATCGGTCACAACTACCGGCTTCACACTTTCTATATCAACAATGTGTTAGAAAGATTACCATCAAATCGAGCTCCTCGTTGACGAATCGGTTAAAAATTCAAATCCAAAATTGAAAACAAATACAACGAGGGAGATTAGTATGTTTGCTTAAAAGTAC